GGGGCACTGCAGGCTTAACCTAGGCACACAGAGGCCAGGAAATCCCCTTTCTGAGTTGGAGAGGAATATTCGACTGAGATAGGAACTTGGCCCAGCTTCCCTTCCAGGTTATGGGATCATAGTGTCATTGTTCCTGAAGGGGATTCCCTCTGCTGGGTTCTTCCAGAGTCTGTGAGGAACATTTGAATTTCTTCTCTTCAGAGTCAGTGTTTTGTTCTTTGATGAGAGCAAATTTAGCGTTCATTTAAAAGCAAAACCATTTCTTCAGATCACTTTTGACTTTGTGTATGCTGACCAACAGATTAAAAGACAGAATCCAGGTCACAACAATTAAGATCTATTTTTTTTTATTTTTTTTGAATTTATTTATTTTTATTTTTTATTTTATTTTGGTATTTTGAGACAGGGTTTCTCTGTAGTTTTGGTGCCTGTCCTGGAACTAGCTCTTGTAGACCAGGCTGGCCTCGAACTCACCAAGATCCACCTGCCTCTGCCTCCCGAGTGCTGGGATTAAGGGTGTGCCCCACCACCGTCCAGCAACAATGAAGATTTATAATGCGGCCTTTTACCAGTATTTGATGTAGGGTTCCGGGGTACCCAGTCTCGCACTCAGTTGCCTGAAATCCCCGCAGTCCTTGTTGGGTGATTTTTTTTTCCTATCTAAAGCAGATGACGAAATGGTTTCATGCGGTTCCTCCTTGCTTCAGCTTCAATGACTCAAAAGTAGCAGGTGAATTAAGGCTCTGGTGGATATTCCAGGACCAAATCTCATTAGCCGCAGTCTGGGGAAAATGTCAGTGGCTTTGGTTACTGCAGCAATGCTTCGGTATTTAAGAAATGGTTGTACGTCATGGCTGCGTGGGAAATGATGTGCACACCCCCTGCAGAGAGTGGTTTGAAAGACAAGACAAGCAAAACAGTGAAAGTCCAAGCCCGTTACTGGTCAGCGCAAAGCGTGAAGCTGCCTAGGTCTTCAAGTGAAAGCTGTTCTGACGGAAAAGGAATTTCATTTCTTTCCGTTTCAGAATCAAAGAGGCCAGTCGCTAGCCCATTTCTTCGATCGTGATTGTCTCCGATAATCAGTGACTGTTGTGAAATCAAATCTTAGAACATGTTAACGTGTCAGCTCAGGTGATATTGATGCTTATTGAATGAAAGCATTGTTGATACGGAAAGGGGTTCCAACAAAGAAGCCGTGCTCTAACCAATGAATGAGCTTGTGCAGGACTTTGCCTAACAAATACGGACCCACACAGTCACCTTTAACCTTTTGTAAAACCGATGTTCGGGCGTGTGAAGTTAGATGTGACCCTTCTACTACTTTCAAAAGTTTGACCATGTTAAAATTAATAATGCCACATTTTTGAATTAAAAAATAATTAAAAATTAAAATAAAAAAACGGAAGGATGCTAAAAGTTGCCCATCTGGTATAATTACAGCTAATATGCACAAAATGAAAAACTCAGACACTCTCCATATCCAGACATGGTCATTTCCCTATCCTGCGTCTTGTCTTGGGGCTCACATTTCCCAGATGAGGTCTGCAGGCCGGAAGGCGCTTTTTTTTTGTTTGTTTGTTTCAGTTTCTAAGCTGTTCAGGTTGCCCACGGTGTCTTTGAAACTGCATTTCTAGCGTGCTTCTGCCACCTTGTGCCTCTCCAAATTCACTGCAGTGCCCAGGGAGCATAGCAAAGGTGATGTGGGGGCGTGGGGGGGGGATCGGTTTAACCTCAGTTAGTGCGGGCACCCGGGGGTCGGGAATGGGGGAGGAGACAACATTTTCAGAGACCTGGAAGACCCATGAGGGTGTGTGTGTGTGGTGGGGGGTGTAGCGCGTGCGCGTGCACGCTCATGTGTGATCTTTCCAGATCCAGGTGCTTCATTAGATCAGTATGAAAATTCTTTTTTTTTTTTTTTTTTTACCATCCAAGAACCGCAGCCTAGCGAAGGACAGCAGACAGCGCGGCTAGCTCTCTGACTCGGCGGCTGCAACACGCTTGGATACCTTCCTTCCTTGCCTACTCTTTAAACTTCCTGTCTGCAGAAAATCCTGGAAGACTGCTGTGCCTGAAAAGCCTCCATAGCTTTCAGGATGGCCCTCTGGAAATTCAGCGGCCTGCTGTGTTTACACAAACTGTTTTTCTCTTCCCGGATTATCATTCCAGACAGCATTCCATTTGTTGGGGGCCTCAAACTGTTTGTCTGGTCTGCTGCCTTGGAGTTATGTTGAGGTCTAGAAAGAGGAGCCTTTTACCTGGAACTTTGACCTCCCCTGGTTTGACAGTAAACGAGCTTGGCTTGATGCCCTTCCTGAGATGCTCTGAGACCTTTAAGCGATCAATGTAACTGCATTTGACTTTGAAATGGTATTGAAGGAACCATGGATGCAAATCATGTATGTCAATAGTGAAATGGCCACTCCTACCCTACTAAAATGTGGTAAATTCTAGGTCAGAGGACTCACAGTGAAGCATTGCAGTTATATAACTGTAGAATTAGAAGCCGACTAGGTAATGGTGGCACACACCTTCAACACCCGGGAGACAGAGGCAGGTGGATGTCTGTGAGTTTGTGGCCAACCCAGTCTAGTCTACAGAACAAGTTCCAGGACAGACAAGACTACACAGAAAAACCCTATCTCGAAAAGCAAACAAACAAACAAACAAACAAACAATTGGAATCCTAGTGGCCTGAATGGTGCGAAGCTGTTTATTGAGACCTGATGCAGGGTTTTTACATATGTAACCACGTATTCTCCGGACAAAGCTGTGCTGCACCTAGTGTTCCATGATCCACATCGAAGGAAACTGAGACCAGACTCTAAGCTTGACAGTGGGAAGATGGGAACTTGAACTTCCGTGTTTCTGACCCTCGGGTTCATAATCTTTGTAGTCGATCTTTTTCTATGGCAAACGTTGAGCATCTTTGTCGCCACGTTGGTCTGATAAGGGCACTTGGGTGTAGAGGGGATTGAATTCACAGTCTGGACCAGAACCCACAGTAGGGCTTGCTGGCGGACAAGCTGGCTGCCTCAGCATCAGCACCACCTCCTGCTGAAACCACATCTTTCTTCCTGGTGGAGTCTGGTGCTGTTATGGTTGGCAGAGAATCACAGGGCGCTTGGAAGCCCTTCCCCAATCTCACAATTTTCCCTATTTGGGAAAAGCCAGTTCTGACTTTGCCCAATAACCTCCAAGCTAACTCTGCGAGCTTTTGATTTAGCCCCACCTCTGGTCCATTCTTCGCTCTGCATTCGACTTTCGGAAGAAGAATAAACATGATCTTATCATTCTCCTTCTCACAGGTTTTCTGTGGACAGCCTTGTCAGTTCTTTTCATCCCCGACTCTCACGGCTGTCCCCTGATCACTGCAAACATTCTCTCAGCCCATTGGGATTAATTGCCACACCCCTCAAATGGACAGTGTGTCCTCCCTCCCGTCCTCCTCCCCTCCCCCAGCACTAGGTATATGCTGCTCTTCCCTATGCATTGATTCAATCTTCTTCCTTTATCCATCTTCCTTCCACTTCCCATCCACGGGCTCTGCTTGGTCTGTTTTTTGTTTGTTTGTTTGTTTGTTTATTCCATTTGAGACAGGGTTTCTCAGTGTAACCCTGGCTGTCCTGGAACTCACTCTGTAGACCAGGTTGGTCTCGAACCCACAGAGATCCGCCTACGTCTGCCTCCCGATTGCTCAAGTCTCTTCTTTTAAGGCTACTTTCTGAGTTTCTTTTTCTAGTTCAGCCGTGCAGAACAACATTCTGGTCGAATAGGACACTAACCACATGACACAAGATCATCAAAACATCACAGAACCATTGACAACCATCCTCAATGACTTTTTCTCCCAATTATGTGACAGCTACTGATCTGCCTTTATCTATGGCTTTGCCTTGTTTGGGCATTTGATATAAACAGAGCCATACCATGTCATTGTGTGCACCTCTACTCCACCCCTTTTCTATGACTAAATGATGTCATTGTATGCAAGGCTGTTTCTACATTGGGGATGAGTAATACTTCTTTGACTACCTATGCACTAGGCGCTGTATAATCGCTCATGCGTCCAGCTCTCTTACGAATACATTTGTAGGTAGAATTGCTGGGCTGTATGGTCACTCGGCATCTTTCTGAGGAACTTCCGGACATTTAATCTCAGCACCATTTTACATTACCATCAGCAGCAGATGAGGGAGGGCTCTTATTTTCCATGCTCATCAATACCTGCTTTCTCTTGCGCATGTGAGATTAAAATTGCTTTTTATTTTTATTTTTTTTTTATCCTTTCTGAACTGCATGCTTCCTTGTAAAAAAAAAAAAAACTAAGCTAGGCTTTTCTTTCTTTCTTTTTTTGGTTTTTCAAAACAGCATTTCTCTGTAGCTTTGGAGCCTGTCCTGGAACTAGCTCTTCTAGACCAGGCTAGCTCTTCCAGACCAGGCTGGCCTCGAACTCACAAATATCCACCTGCCTGTCTCCCAAGTGCCGGGATTAAAGGCGTGCACCACCACCGCCCAGCTGCTATGCTAGATTTTAATCATTATCACACTCCAGTGCCTGAGACGTGGACTAAGTTCTTACCGAATGAGCTCGGGGAACCCAAAAGGCTTTTCTTGTTGCTTCCCTTCTGCGCTTCCAGGAACTGCAGGGGCTGGGGTGGGAAGCCCCATTTTGGCTGCCATTCCACACATTCACGAGAGTGTCGCAGAAGCGTAATAACTGCACTAAGACGATGGCCTGGTGGAGTTTAGTAGTTTCACCAGACTTCTCAGGTGGAGACCCAGCAGGATTTTTTCATTTAGCCACCTCAGAATGGGAAGGAACAGTTTCAACTCCACTGGCTGTCTAGGTGGTGGCAGTGTGGGTGGGACGGGGAATGTGTGTGTGTGGGGCTTTCGGGCCTAAACACATTTTCTGAGAGCCTGTAAACACTGCCTAATGGGAAGGTCATTCTTTCTGAGTGAAAGTAGAGGAGAAGGGAAAGAAAAAAAAGAAAAGAAAAGAAAAGAAAAACAAAAGTTCCTTTACTGGAAACACATGAGCCACATCAATTATACATTCAGAAGCACACAGACCGAGGCCAGCTTCTCAGTCCAGAAACAACTCCCTTTAGCCAAGTCCCTTCTAGGGCTTCAGGGGCTGTTTACCCTCTCTTCCTGGAGTTCTGTTTTCATTTGTCCCGGTGTGCCCGACCTTGGATTTGTCCAGGTGACCTGGGTGAGGAGAGGTCTTGCAACTTGATTTCCTGGGGCTGGCTCACTGTCTAGTAAATAAAGGGCCTGCGGAAGAAAAGCTCTTGTTGGTGTCTTGCTGAGAGCCTCAGAGGTCCCGAGCAGGTGAGGGCGGCAACCGGAGACTCTTGGATCCACCTCCGCCCTTTGTCAACACTACTTCAGGCTTTGTTGGCTCGGGAGTAGTCTAGGTGGCTCTGTTCCGGGGTGGCTTCCTGCAACATACCTACCATCTTTCTTCTCCAGAACTCCCTCTCTCTAGGCCTGCAGGGAAAGTGTTAACCCGGCCCTGGAAGAAAGAATTCTGTGCAATATTTATTTATTTATTTATTCTAATATTGAACTAGGAACTCTTTGTCTGTTTCATCTTCTTTCTCCCAAGAATGATTTGCTGGGTTACACTCCCGATCTGACGGATTTCAGCAAGCACTGGCCTCTATTGTACTTTCCCTTTAGAAACACAGTACGTTTCCCACCCTGGGAGGGTCTGGGATCTGTCCTCGGGTGGGGAGGTCTTTGGGACAGTGCTAGGACAGCAGCACTGACCTTGTGTGAAAAAAGGTTAAATGTTATTACGAAGCAGTGAAAACACAGAAGATAGAAAAGAAGAAAAAAAAAACACAACATAGTTATCATTGTCCAAATATGGCCTTCTTGAACTCTGGATGCTATTTCAGCACTGTGGGGACATTCCAGAAATCTCTGCCTCCAAATATTTCCCTCACCTTATCTGCCTCTGCTGAGAAACCAACGATAAGCCTGGTATCAGTCCGTGTCTGAAGAAGTCCAGCTCCAGAGCCGGGGCCCAGAAAGCTGTCTGTGGTGAGCCTTGCATCCTCCTCAACTCCAAGTCACATTTTCCTCTAGGTCTGCAGCTTCGAGTCGGTTTCCAGTGATTTTCCACCTTCTTAAAGCTGTGTGATCCTGCAGTTCCTCACGCTGTGGTGACCCCCAACCATAAAACTGGTTTTGTTGCTACATCATAACTACATTTCCGCTACTGTTGTAAATTGTAATCTAAATCTTCTTGGAGTTAGAGGTTTGCGGGGGTGGGGGTTGGGGTGGGGGAAAGTAGGGGGGTAGGGAGGTGGGGATGGGGGGAATGTTATGACCCACAGGTTGGGAACTAAGACAGTTCTTTAGTACCCACAATTACTTTGGTACTTACCACCGGTGCAGTGAGATGGTGGCTTTCTCCTGCTCCTGAACGGGAGTGCAAGATCTCTGTGAGCCCTAAGCTGAGCTACCTGGAAGACAAATGCCGCTCCCGGACCCCTTGACTACTATAACTTTGCTTTTCTCGGTCCACCAAGACCCTGGGACAGCTTCAGCAGACCCCAATTTATACCCATAGTGCCTCATTCCAAGACAAACATTCATGGCTCTCTGTCTTCCTGTTTGTGTCCATGATGGATCTTACAGGCTTCGCTCAGCTGAGCTTCTCCGCTTTTGACCAAAAGCCTACACTGAGAACTTGGAAATAGAAACAAAACGGACTCTTGTACAACTAAGCAGCCCTCACGTCACTTGTCACTTAACTGGTCCTTTCTTTGCAAAGCCCCCCCCCCCTTAGGGATAGCATTTGTTAAGACCTTCCAAAACCCAGGCAGAATGTGAGTTTAAGTTCTCACTGTGGTAGGTTATAAAACAAGGCAAAATTGTGGATTTACCAGGAATGTGGACCTGCGTGATCCGTGGGGTTACCGGGATGTGAGTCTGGGTGGATCCAGCCCGAGTTGTTTACTTAAACGGAGAATTGAAGGAAGAGTTCAGAAACATCCTGTTACAGGATGTGTGGATGGGTCAGTCTGAAGAGAGGAAATCTGGAGAGGCTGGCACCCACACTGCCCTCTAGTGGCTGTGAGCAGCTTTAACGAATAAAATCAAAAGGGCTCCTTTTGATTCTCTAGTACACTTCCCGATTATGTATGGGAAAGACAAGGGGATGAAGGGGGGCGGGGGTTGACAGAAAAGCAGGAAGAGAAAGCAGAAAGCTACTAAGGGGTGCTCAACACAGGTGGTCTGACTGAGCTCCTCTGTCTCTCTCTCTCTCTCTCTCTCACTCACACACACACACACACACACACACACACACACACACACACACACACGTTCCCAAGTTATTCTAGCTAAAAATCTTTGTTCAGGATGGGGGGGGGGGTAGGGAGATGGGCTTTGCCTTCCTCTCCAGACCCTACTTCCATGCCTAGAGGAGTCATCTCAGTGGTGAGCAGCAGAACCTTGTCTTGCAGCTCAGGCCAAGCTTGTTTCTTGAACTTTCTCCCCTCCTCTGTGTTTCTTTCAGGACTTTCTCCTATCTTTGTCTTCAGCTCTCCACAGAGGAGTGGTCCCGACTGGTTAGTGTGTTGCCTCAGCCCTTAGGGAATGACAGGAATGTGGAGAATGTCTGGCGCCACCTTTCAGACCTTCTGGGAAAGGAAGTTTTGGCTCAGGAGTGGTGGAGGGAGCGGTCTTTACCTCTGACCACAGTTACCTGAGGATGTGGGACTGACCCCGGAGCCTAATTGTCTGTTACTGGAGTCCTCCTGATCTGTCCACCTGGAGACAGAAGGCTGCATAGCAAACTGTGGTTGTGAAATTATTTTTTTTAAAGATTCATTTTTTAAAAATTTTATGTGCATTGGTGTTTTGCCTGCATGTATGTCTGTGCGAGGGTGCCAGATTCCCTGGACCTGGAGTTATACACAGTTGTGAGCCACCAAGTGGATGCTGGGAGTTGAACCCAGGTCCTCTGGGAGAACAGCCAGTGCTCTTAACCACTGAGCCATATCTCATGTGAAATTATTTTGCCTCTGATTCTTCAACATGAGTTATTTATCCTAAGACAGGGTTTCTCAACCGTCCCAATACTGCGACCCTTAAATACAGCACCTCATTTTATTCTTTTAAAAAGAATATGATGGGATGGCCCCGGGCGGCTCGCGGAGTCCTACAAGGATGGCCGTGAGTCCCTGCAGCGCCATGCGGCCGGGGGAGTCAGGCGGGCGATTACGGCAGATAAAAGGCTCATAGGACATAGTATTATTTAAAGAAGAGGGAGACATTTATTGTTTAAAGGAGAGAAAACAGAGAGAAAACAAAGACACACGTACACACGAGACGAGACAAACACACACATGCACACACACACACACACACACACACACACACACACACACACACACGCGCCACAGGCACCAGAGAGAGAGAGAGAGAGAGAGAGAGAGAGAAGATGGCGGCGGGGGGAGGGTCAAAAGTGGCTGGGATGGGCGTGGTTAGTTCTTAAAGTGTCCCAATGGAATAACACCTCATGTTGTGGTGATCCCCCCCAAACATAACATCATTTTTGTTACTACTTCCCAGCTGCAACTTTGCTACTGTTTTTGAATTGGAATGTAAATATCTAGTTTTTTTTTTTTTTTTTTTAAATCGTCTTAGGTGACCCCTGTGAAAGGGTTGTTTGACTCCTGAAGGGGTCACGACCCACAGGTTGAGAACTGCCGCTCTGAGACTTCGGTAACTAGGGAAAAAAATGAGCTGACTGCCTACATCCTATGACCCATCTTTCTGGGCTTAAACGTTGGGCACTTTATCTGATTTGATATGCCAAAGAGATTCTGAAGTAACTTTTTTTTTTTTTTTTTTTTTTTTTTTTTTTTTTTTTTTTATATAGAAAAGGAAGGAAAAATGCCCAGGGATTGACTCCCAGGTGTCACTGTTATTCCATTGGGACACTTTAAGAACTAACCACGCCCATCCCAGCCACTTTGGACCTCCCCCTGCCGCCATCTTCTCATCTCTTTTTCGTGTCCCCCCCCTCCCCCGCCGCATGGCACTTCCACTTGTAGCTGCTCCGCAAGCTGCCCGGGACATTCCATCATCATATTCTTTCTAAAAAAACAATAGTCACCACACGGAAGTTGCCCTGATTCTCGGTCCCCAGTCAAAATTTGGTTATGTTTGAGTCTGCATTTAATTCACACAAGCATGAGGACAGCCATGGTCAGAAACCAGATCACGTGTGCAACTGCTTTTGCAGCACCCTCTGCGACACCTGGAATCGTGCCAGAAGAACGTGATTTGTTTCCTGAGATGGACTCGGAGGCCTCTGGGGCCCCTGGTTTCGATGTTCTCCTGCTGTATGGCTGGCTTTTGAGTCAGACTCACTGTGGCCCTCAAAGACTGCAACCTCATCACGTGACCGCTCTGTTCCACCCTTCGTGTCCATAGAAACCTCCTTGGAGGGACAGTTCGCCCTGCGCTCAAGAAGTGCAAACATGAGCCTGAGAGCAGTTGAGTGGGAATATTTGCTGGTCTCTGACTACAGACATAGGAGGGCTTTCTCTTTCCTGGAGTTGCTAAGTGAACTCCTGCCATGTGCTTCACTAGCGCCATCTCAGCTCAGCGTCCTGGCTTGTGGCGCTTATTAAACACCCTGAGGACAACCTTAAGACTCAGCAGAATTCATTTTAAAAGTTTAAAATCCGTGACTTTCAGGGGTCCAGCCCTTCTCCAAAGAGATGGCGGTGTTAATGTTAACCCTTAGTGTTCACCCTTTCCTTGTCACCCCCCAGGGCTGCCCTGCTGTAGGATCTGAAGCCTACACTTCCTCTTCCTTGCTCTAGTGAGGCTGCTGTGTTATCTTTTTCTGTAGGTTATAGCTGCTTATCTGGCTAACACTGACTGTGTGTCTCTTGGTTTGCCATAGAAAATCTGAGGTTTTCCTCTTAAGCGCTAAGCACTGGCTCTTAAGACCTGCTCCCACCTTAGTGGGGCCGCAGGTGAGTTTCTCTCCAAGGTGCAGTGTTCTGCTTCACATGTGATATACAAACTTAATTGACAAGCTTGTTGGTTTAAGTGAAACTACGTTTTAGCTTTCTTTGTGGTTGATAAGAACTATGAGTAAACGCTTGGGTTTTGCTACTCCAAAGAGTATACAGCCTAGGCATCTGGCACACCTTCTCAGTATTAGCCTCTCTCTCAACATTAGCATCTCTCTCAGTGTTAGTCTCTCTCTCAATGTTAGCCTCTCTTTCAACATTAACACCTCTCTCAGTGTTAACATCTCTCTCAACGTTGGCATCTCTCTCGAGTTAGCCTCTCTCTCAATGTTAGCCTCTGTCTCAACATTAGCATCTCTCCCAATGTAGGCATCTCTCTCAATGTTGGCATCTTTTTCAATATTGGCATCTCTCTTAAAGTTAACACCTCTCTCAATGTTAGCATCTCTCTCAATGTTAGCCTCTCTCTCAATGTTAACACCTCTCTTTCAACGTTAACACCTCTCTCAGTGTTAACATCTCTCTCAACACTGGCATCTCTCTCAAGGGTCAGGTGCTGGCTCGGTTCAGAGACTTGGCACCTTGCCACCCAAAGTTACCCTCTACTCTACTACTTGGTGCTGCAGTGGCCAGTAACATATCTATTACAGTCTCGTCCTGTTAAGGGCCCAGTCCAATTCACTCCAGGCAAGAAAGGACTATGGAAAGGACTTCAGTTCCTCTGCAAAACGCATCCTTTGCTTTCTCCAAACTCTCCCTCCTTCAATAGAGAGGTGGGTCTACTAAAAGGTTGACCTTCAATCCCCGTCCCTCACATCTGTAAGTTCTTTAAACAGGGACCATGATCTAGAATTTTATTTTGTTCTTAGCGATAGGCCTTCCCCAACACAGCACACGGAACACTGCAGTAAACAGTGGTAAGTAGCAGCAATAAATGTCTAGTAAGGGAAAGCTAGATCTTCCTTGTCAAAAGGATGAAATCTCTGGCCTGGGTAGAGATCAGATAGTCCAGGTAGTCAGTCAGTTGGCTGGTCAGATGTCCACTGCTAAGGAAGGCAGGACCACTCCTGGAAGGTAGACTCATCTTAAGTCATTCTAAAAACCCAGACAGAATAACTATTCCTTGAATGAGTTGCTATCTGTTTCCTTCCCAGAATTCCTGCTCCCTCGTTCAGTCCCTAGTGAGAAGTTTCTGCACTTCAATAAGCCACAACTGCAGCAATCCAAATCACACTAAATTAGAAAAAAGCCCAGGTTTAATGGATAAAATGCTTCTGGATGAGTTCCCCTCCAGAGAGGAGACAGGGAAAAGAGACTGAAAAAAAAAAACCAAAAAACCCATGTGCCTGTTTTTTGGGGGACAGTTAAAATACCCTGTGGGAGTGGTCTTGAGCATCTCTAGGGCAGGGCTCATCATTGGCAGATTTCCTGAGATGTGACAGGGTTTGGAGAGAGATGGGGGAGGGTTCTTGAGGTGGAACTTCCACCAGAACATCCTAGACTCTTTGGGTATATGGATGCCAGAGGCTGGGTTGGAACTTCCGGCAGAATATCCCAGATTCTTTGGGTATATGGGTGGTGTGTGAAGTCCTTCTGTATATGTGTTGCTTTTATTCGTTAATGAATAAAAGAAGCTGTTTTGACCTGTGATGGGGCAGAATTGAGATAGGCAGGGAAGATTGAACTGAATGCTGGGAGAAAGAAAGCAGAGTCTAGAAGAAGCCATGGATCTACCGCAGGGGACAGATATGCTAGAATTTTGCCAGTAAACCACGATCCTCATGGTAAAATATAAAATAATGGAAATGGGTTAATTCTAAATGTAAGAGCTAGCTAGCAACACACTTAAGCTATTGGCCAAACAGTATCACAAATAATATAGTTTCTGTGTGATTATTTTGAGTCTGGGCAGCTGGGGAACAAGCGGCCTCCACCAACATACGGATGCCAAGGGTTTGGGTGGAACTTCGAACAGAATATCTGAGACTTTGGGTATATGGGTGCCAGGGGCTTCTGGCAGAATGTACTAACCAACATGAGCTTCGTTGGATCCATTCATCTTTCTAGGATATGACTTTTTGGCTTTCTCTCTCCTCTCTTCATTTGGGATGCTAACCAGCACCTCAGTTTGCTTCTGGTACTTGGAGCCTATGAGAAGAATGCCTCTTCCTCCCATGACCTTTAAAGTCCCTGTT